GATTACAAGTGACTTCAATGATTGAGGCATGCACTAAAGTTTTTAAACACAAGTTTTCGATGCTATAATCGAAACTGTGAAACATACATTGAAGAGTGACTTCCATTTTCAGATTGAAGGAAAACTCTTTGAGCATGTTGAATAAGAAGTGATTAAACACTTTAATTATATTTATATAAATCAATAAATCGAGTTAGTTCATCTTAATTATACTATAATGAATATATAATAAAATAAAAAAATAAAATGTTTTTAAATGAATCAATTTTATTAATTTATCTACATGTAATGAATTTGTAAAACCTCATAAAATGGTATTCTAGAAGTGGTGGTAGTTTAAAAATAGTGAGATTCGATTATTTTAATATTAAATGGTTTATTTATAAATAGTTTTGTTATAAACGAGTTTCATTATTTTAAAATGTATCATCTATCTAAAAAATAATTTTCTAGAGTTCTTTTTGACTATCAGGAGGTACCTAAACGACCACGACAACGAGGTCTACGTTCTTATTCGATCAGTTTCTGCAATAGAGTAAGTAAGTTTCAGCTCATTTTTGCTCTTCGTTCTTTATTTGAGACCATGCATGGAGATTTCCACCGCATGTGTACTTTGATATTCCTTTGAGTTCCTTGTTGATTAGAGGTCCTAAGGACTCTCCTTGATATCTTTTTGGTGTTTCATAGGTGTATTTATAGTTTCTTGAGTCGGAAGCAACAAGGTGCGGTTTTAGAGCTTAATTTGTGAGGTAAGGGAAGCTAGACTTTGTATTAGATTTATGTTTGTGGTTTAAATTTAGTATCCCTATGGATGATAATGTGATTTGATTGAAATTGTTATGTTTGTACCAATAAACTTGGTGTATAGATGATGAACAATGATTGTGTGATGTTTGAATGTTTGGTATAGTGTGGTTGTAATGCTTTTGCTATAATTATTGTGTGGTGAAGTTGTATTTTGGTTTGAAACTAAATTTAAATTGTTTGGAGTATAGAAGAGTCGATTACTTGGATTTTAAGATCAAAAATAGAGGTTTTAATTGGTGAGTTTGAGAGATAGGTGTTGGAGTAAGGAAGTAACTGATTTAGTACTGTTATATGATCATATGAGACTTGTTAGAAGTGTCCTTTGAGTGAAATATGATATGGAACATAGAGGTAGTTCATTAGGGTAGTTTTGGAGTGTTTTTAGTGTAAAAGAGAGGTTTTGAGTAATGAGATTTTGAATCAATGAGTATAAACTATTTTGGGAAGTTAGATGTATACTATTAGATCTATTATGACTTGTTTAGGCTTTCAAAGGAGAAAAATATGGTGTAAAACTTAGGGTCATCTGAAGGTGAGTTCTTAAGTGTTTTTAGTCAAATTTTGAGATTTTACATAATGAGAACTTGAAGCAGAAGGGCTGAGAGTAATCTAAGGTGTTAAGGTGTGCTAGAAAGTGAATTTAAACTTGGTTATACAGTTGATGGACTGATATGGGTGTGGAAAGTGTAGAATTTGGTTTTGGAGGCAGCTTAGAAGGGGATTTTGGGTTTGGAGTTGCAATTTAGGGTTATAGTGGTGTTTCAGGTATTCTCAATGTCTATAACATCCTAGGGATTAATTAAAGTTGTGGGGAAAGTGTTCATAGTCATAAAAATTTATTTGGTCATAGTTTCTGGTTTTAATCAATTATGACAATCACATAATAGATTAAAACAAAAAGTATGGTCTAATAGATTATGCTAATAACATAATAGATTGAAACATAAACTACAGTCTAATAGATTATGTTAATAACATAATAGAATAAAACAGAAACTATAGTCTAATAGATTATGTTAACAACGTAATAAATTAAAATGGGCAATTTTTACTTTTTTTGCTTTATGTGAATTTTGGTTTGTCCTAACATATTAGATTACCAATCTAATCAATTATTTCTACCAGTTTAGTGAAAATTTGAATAATCTAAACCAAATTCACTAGTACTCATGTGATCTATTTTTTTCATTGTTCTTTTATGATCCTAAACAATGTTATTATTAATTTTTATATGTTGGTATGCAATGCAAAAGCAAATGGATATGTATATGGTTTGAAAGGTGTGGAAGAGAGTTCTAAGGAAGAACTTCTCAATGGTAGTTTTAAGTATTGTGAGTATGAATATGGGAAACTCAGTCTTGGAGTTCATCTTGACATTTTAATGGTCACTCATTCTCAAGTAGAAAGGGGTGAGGCATGTCATGAGAATAACAAGAGGTCTTAGTCCAAAAGTTTTACCTTAGTCTAAAGGTTTTACCTTAGTCTAAAGGTTTTACCTTAGCCTAAGGCGAGTAATAACAGACTAACCTTGTGTGGTAGCTTGGGATGAGCAAGTTGTTTCACCACAACATGTACACAAACTGTCATAGCTCGATATTCATACTAATCCATATATTCAAGTTAAAGTATGCATAAAGTGTTTGTTTGGTTGGTGTGATATGTGTATAATATTTAAATTGTTTATCAATAATTGTTTGTATCTAGTTTACCTTTGTTTTTGTCTTTATTTATCTATGTGTTTTTTTTTTGTAATGATCACCTTAAATGGTGTGAGCTTAGAAAAGACGTTTTTTCAATCATTTCAACTTGAGGTTAAGATTGAAGTAACAACATAGATAAATTTTAATAATCGATAGTTTCTAGTTAGTTATTATTTATATAGTATTTTATTTTGATAATTTTGTTATACTAAAATGAGATATTACATAATTAAATTGGGTCGTAAAATTTGGGAGTGTAGTTAACTGTATTTAGTTTACTTTAACTCCACATTTCATGCAATGTGTTTGTTAAAACGTCACTCTCTGTCCAGTTTCAAGTAGTAAACATCACAATGTGAATTGAAACGTTTATTAAATTTGGAATTTGCTATTCAAATGGAAACCATCAATGTTATGTTCAGTTCCATTCTAAAATTAAACTGAATTTGAATCGAAAACTTCGATGTGAAGTTCAATGTGGTTTTAAGACCGAATTCAATTTTGTAACACACTGTGTTATTACATTATTTTAATTAAATATTGATTTATTTACTTTATATTCTTAATGTTATAATTATTAAATTATAAATATATTAAAGTTATTAATATTATGATACTATAGTTAATTTTATGATATTTCTTTCCTACTTTCTTCTTTATTTCAAACTTTATCATACTATAATATTTTATAAATCTAAACTATTTAAATCCGATACTTAAAAGCAAAGCTTCTATTTTGAACTTTAACATTAATATACTTGCTAAAGTCCGAAAAATTAAACCTTCGTGTTTTGATGTTTCATTGAGTCAATGGACAATGATGGGTGGCATGTAATTGAAGACATAATCATGTAACTTTAATATCTTTATTTGCGTGACCAACTTTTTATTTATATTGTCGTGTATTGTGAAAAAAAAGTTCATATAGTTAACTTTAAATTAATATTTCTTCATGAATTTAATTATAATGCAATTAGAGTGTATAAGGACAAGTAATAAGTTATTATCTATTATCTCCTGTGATAAGATAAAAAAAAAGTTATAAGATAAAGCATAGGATAAAAATACTAGCTAGCTAATACTAATGCCTAAAGTGTCTGCACAAAAATATAAAGCAACTTTAAATTTTGATAAAGTGCTACCATACATTTTAATTAAGTTAATTATTGAATATTCAAAACCAGGTAAATTGAATTTCATGGCAATTGTAGTAATTACTTTATATAAATGTTAACGCATATATATAGGACCATTATAAGTGCATTTTCACTTGAAATAATGATTATATAATAAGAATAATATAATATGTGGTGTATACACTTATTTTTTATAGTATTTCCTTATCATAATTATTTTTTTAAAATAATTTATAAATATTATTTTAATTATGTAATAATATATATATATATATATATATATTATTTAGTAATAATAATCTTAAATATATATTTATATATTTATAGTCTATTTTATTTCTATAATTATCACTCTCAATATTATACTTATAAAATAAAGTGGTTAAAAAATATAAATTTCTTTTTGCATTATATCATATTCACAGTGGTATCCTTATAGCATATTAAAGGCTATCAAATATATCATATTGAATCTGGAAGCTACACATAACCGAGATCATTTATTACTCATATCATTTCATATTATTATTTACCTAGTATTATTATGTATTATACTGGTAAAATTTCTTCTGTCAATACCATATCATGTTGCTCAAGAGAACATAGTTCATGTTAAAGTCACAGTCAATTAAGATTAATAGTTAAGATTTATTAACATAACATTAAGGCCTTGTTCTTTTGAGTGGATTTGAGAGGATGAATTTGAGGGGATTTGAGAGGATTTGAAGATAATTTTTTTTATCGTTTATTTGAGTGAATTTGAAGGTAAATGAGAGTGAATTTGGAAAAAATTTTTTTTAATTTGTCATGTCAATACAATTCTATACTAATTCTCACAAAATTTATTTTCAAATTCACTATCATTTACATCCAAATTAACTCAAATAAACGACAAAAAAAATTATCTTCAAATCCTCTCAAATCCATCCTCTCAAATCCACTCAAAAGAACAGGGCCTAAATAAATTAATTAAAGTGATTTTCTTTTGCGTGATCCAGGTCCAAGTAAAAGTTCATAAATTTGATATAAATATGTTTACAAACTAATTAATTATCTATGATGGATACCCCTGATTTAAACTTAGAAATATCTTTTAAAAGTACACAACTTTCAGATTAAAATGATACATGAACATATTAGTTTGAAGCTTCATTGACAAAGTTGAAAAAAATCAAACTTTTTATAAAATATTTACAATATTGGATAATGGAAGAACAGATAATAATTTTCTTTATTTACAATTTTTTATTCATTTGTATTCAGATAATTCATAATTTATTATTTAAATTTCATCATCCTTTTTTTTATTTTAAAAATTATAGAGACGCAAGTTTTTATAAGTAATAATAATAATAAAAGAAGCTTCCCACTTGACCAGCTTTCTAAGAAAAATATCTCAAGTTTTTGACTTTTTGATCGAAGAAAAACATATACATATAGTGCTTCTTCCAAACTGGCTTACACACTCATCTGCCGTCTACATCTTCATCGAAACGTCCCACCGAGCCAAAGCTGCTTTCTTTGAACATCTCGGTATGTAATCTCCTCCTTCTTTTCCTCTTTGCTCTTTGGGTTTGTAAAATACATGGTCTTTCTTTACCATCACCATTCACTTCTTGTGTCTGTGCTTTGCAATTTCTTCTTTTTGAATTAATGGGGTTCTGTGGATGCTCTCCTTTGATATAACTTGTACTGGATAGATCTTGTGCTTTTACTGACTTTTCAACATTAATCTTTAAGTCAATCATTGTTGAGATTTTTTACTTTATGAAATGTCTGAAATATTTTTCCAGCTATACAAGATGTGCCAATTTTTCCTTTTTCCCCTCTTCAAGCCCTTTTTCTTGTCACTACTAGCATCCCTGCAAGTAAATATGCAGAAACGCATGTTGGGGCTTCCTGTTTCTGGGTTACCGACATCTCGCACTTAGCCTGAATATTTAGTGAATCCTTGTTTCTAGTGTAGATGTTAAGATGAAACCAGGATTCCTGTTTCATATGCAATTTAGTCTTTGGTTTTTCACTGCATCTGCTTGCCTTGATTGATTTCCTGAAAGGGTAATTTTTCTTGCATCTTTGTGGTTTTTTTTGTGGTTTTGTCTCATAGCTTGTATGTCTCTATGTGCATAATTTTTTACCTTTGGGCTTTGGGCATAGTTGTTTACACTTTTTTGTAAAAAAAAATGTATTATATCTGTCTGATTGCAGAATTATGCATTTGAGTTGGTTGATTTGTTGCTTATGAATTTTTATGTTTTAGTTATTAACTTAATTAATCCGATCGCCCGTCCTTGCTTGAGTGAGTGGATTTCCTAGTTACTAATAGCCACCTTCAACTACATTTTTTTACTCTATTGACATTTTCTTTGCTGCAGCACATCAACTTGGTTTTACTTTCCTATCCCACTCTTAGTTTCAATTATGTCCGACTTCATCTATCAAGTTAATTCCCCACTTTTTAGATGTTTTTTGTTCTTTTGTATTAAGCTGTTTTTTCTTGGTGTTTCCAGGGCTAAAGAAGTACTACTGACCAAGCTTGTGTGAAGAAGTTCCTTAACTTTCATGGCACTTCACCAATACATTGCTGGGGATTTGAAAACCATAGAAGAAACTGTGACCGAGACAGAAAACTCTAATGGTTGTTTTGACTGTAACATCTGCTTAGACTTTGCACATGATCCAGTGGTGACCCTATGTGGCCACCTCTACTGTTGGCCGTGCATCTACAAGTGGCTTCTCGTCCAACATGATTCTCTTACAACCGCTGAGCGCCCTCAGTGCCCCGTTTGCAAAGCTGTTATATCCAATAGCACAATGGTTCCACTCTATGGCCGTGGCCATTCCACAGCTGAAGGAAAAACATCTTGTGATGTTTTGATACCTCCAAGACCACCAGCTTCATGTGCTCAAGTTCTTGTGGCAGCACCACCTCGAAGGGGTCAGCGTCTTCCATATCGTAATCCTTACCAAGGTCACTATTTCAGCTCTCGTCCTTACCAAGAAGAGGACGCCACTCCTCAAACTCTCAGTCTTGGATCGCACCACTACCCTGTGACTGGAATGTTTGGGGAGATGATTTATTCCAGAGTGTTTGGCAACCCAGAAAATTTGTATGCATACCCCAATTCTTATCAGTTCATGGGAAGTTCTACCACTAGATTGAGAAGGCAAGAGATGCAGGCACACAAATCTTTGAACAGAATCTCTATTTTTCTCTTTTGCTGCTTCCTTATCTGTCTTCTTGTCTTTTAAGTGAACTTCAGGATCATCTTCCCTCTATATATCTATTGTATACGTCGCAAAATGCAAGTTTAAAAACTTGCTAGATTCATTGAGTGAATTATCACAGGCTAAAGTGTTTGAGAGTTTATATTACTCTAAACTCTGCACCTAAACTCTGTTATACCATCATTTTTTTCAAACATATTGCAATACTAATATCTTGCAATACTAATATGATCTTTCGTCACTAGATTGAACAATGAAATTACCTTTTTTTTTCTGTCTGAAAGTAACACCAAATTCTCTGCATATTTTCTGCAAGTTTTGGACAATGATTTACTATTCCTTCGTTCTTTGTAAGCCTCACAACAAATATACATCCATTTCATCCTCACACGATTGCATTCACTGTTTTTTTCACGTCCTTCGGTAGCATAGATACTCATTGTTTTCTTCACAAGAATTGTATGATAACATTTGTTTCGTGTCATGTCCTGCAATTGAATATCAGGTATAAACTTTGTTGATAAAAGTAAACAATTTAACTACTAAATTGAGAAAGTTTATTTAAAGAAAATAATTTCTGTTCCGACTAATGTAGTTTGAGAGTGATAAACACGAAAAAAAAAGAGACTTAGTTTGACGGAGTTAGATATAGTATTAGTATTTTATGGAGTTGTTGATACGTATCAACATTCTTGTATTCTCAATCCTTCATTAACATTCATAGATTTTCCTATTATTTTATTATTTTGATGTAAACTTTACTTTATCTTTAATTTGAATGAAGTACTTTAATTTGGAAAAACAAATAGAACCTTTATCGTTTTCTATCATCATTTTTCTTCGTTGTTTTTAAGTACCTAATAATTTTTCTTAGTATGCCCAACTATAACATGTAAGGCAAACTATGATTCAATGAATTTACATAAGACCACGTATTCCTATTTAAAAGTACATCGAATAATAAGAGAAAGAAAGAAATTCTTTGTTCTTGTCTAGAGAATTCGTGTTACTATAATACTCATTAAAAATAAAGAAAATAAAATTTAAAATATGAGAAAATTAACATGACGTGTTACTTTCCCTAACGACAAGAGAACTCAAAATAGAATTTGTATTGAACTCTTCCCATAACACTTAAAAAATAGAAAAAGAAAAAGGAAATGGATAAGATAAGAAGAAACTCGAAATAGAATATGACCTGAAATCCCATGTGATGTGGACACAAAAGTTATGTTAGAGACAAATACAATCGAATGTCGGTTTGCAGAATAGTCAATAGTTTGTACCTAGTCATGTAAAGTTATTTTTACAAGAAGAAATATAAGAAAACGAAGAAAGAAAAGTAACTAATATATTAAAAAGAAGAAAATTGTATATATAAAAAGTGTTGAAAGAGGGTGTGGTGGTGTTGTGTTGAAAATTTTGAGAATTTGAAATGAAAAAATAATGTCTTTTTCAAGAGCAGCGTAGTGGCTTTCTCTTTCATCGTATACTTGCCAACTATTTTAAAGGCGACATTGAAAAGGGTGGAAGCAAACGAGGAGGATTATGAATAATTAGGATGTTTTGTTTTCTTTGGAGGAATGGAATGAATAATGAAAAATAAGTATGTGAAAGAGATGATTAGGTATGAAAAATGATGGAAGAGGAAATAAAAATAGTATTTAATGGAACATAAAATGATGGAGTGTGTTAGAAAGTGAAATGTCGTTGATAGCTAGATAGAGTGGAATGGAATCCTTATCCAGATGAGAGAAGTGATGGTGCGAACAGTATATGTACCGTCAATCTTATCCTCAGACACAGAAAAACTTATTTCAAACCAAGAAACTAAGGGACAGAAAGTTTAATGCTGTCAGGCGGCTGCTTTCCATGTACAAAAAATATCCTATGATATCTTTCGTTTGAATAAAAAAATCTAATGTGTAACTTATTTTCATTATATACATTTTTATATTGTTGTGACTAGTAAGGGAGATAACATTTTTAAGGTTAGTAATTGTATTTACAGTATTGCTCGTTTCAAATAGGAATGATAATAAAAAAGTTAGTTTTGGTGAATATGTTTTTGTTTAGATATAGGGAATTTTTTTTCAATTGAATAGGAAGATGAAAATGATAATGTATATATTTCTCCTGTCGTTATTATAGTGATCCTAATACTTATTATTACTCTAATTTTCGTCCTCGTTTATGTTTAAATTATAAAAATATTTAATTTATTAAGTATTTTTTATAAATACTTAAAATTTTTATAATATTTTATTTATATGTTCTGTTAAAATGATTTTTTTATTATTATAATCTGTGTAGTTATATTTACATGATATATAAAAATAAATATTTGTTATACATATTTAAATATTTATACTCTGTGTTTATTACTTTATTTATTGTTTAAAAAGAAATTATTTTTTTTCTTAAAATAATTTTTATAAATCTCTGACAGTTCACTAGTTTGATATCTAAAACTTCTTTTAGATTATTAAGATATTTTGACCACATTTTATTATTTTTAATATTTTTTATTGTTTATTTTTATTATATAAAATATTGTTTTAATATTTTTATTTGACTATCACAAATGTAGATATATCCTTAAATTGTATAAAAAAAGTTATTTATTGTAATATAATAATTTAATGACATTATTGTAATGAATCTTGTTTGTTATTATCCAATATATATTTAAATTTAAAAAATGAAAAATTTATTTTAAATTTTAATTATTATTAATTTAATCCATGTCGTCGTGTGATTTCATTTAATTGATGTACTGTAATTTTATTAGTGTATCAAAAAGCTATTTTTTAATTTAAAGAATAAAAGTAAAAAAATATTTCAAATATTTTTGAATTTACATATATTCTTTTTGTATTTTTCTATAATCATTTTTAATTGTATCAATTTTGTTTCATTAACATTGTAAATTTAATAAATATTTTGATTTTCATGAAATTTTATTTGATAATTTAATTTGATATGTATATAATTATAATTTCTTTCAAAGTGTCATCTTGATATTGAATATTTGATAATGTTATTGTATTATGTTCTCCAAAGAACAATTCTTCTCAAAATATCAAAAGGTGCTGAGTTTGAATTTCATTCTAATTAAAGATTCTTGTGGTTCTGGAGGATCCAACTATAAGAGAACGGGGAGAGCTTCCCCCGCTCTCTTTTTTTCCCTCCAACTCTTTGCACTTATGAATACTGATTTTTAAGAATGAGTGATTACCCTTCTCCGACTCTTACTGTTTGTCATAAACTTTTTATTACTTTATAAAAATAATTAATTGATATAAAAATAGTGAAATACGAACATAAGTGTTGGTGAAAATAGAAATGAGACAAATTTAAGTTTGGTATGGAAATGGGGATGAACTTTCTTTTTGTGAGGAATAAAGTGTATTTAAATTACCATTGATCTCAAGTTGAAAATATTGGACAAATAAAAGGTCTTTAATGTTGCATACTTATCTTATGGATCTTTGATTTGAAAGAAAACTTAAAGATGTTTTTATATTTTTATTTTAATTATATATGTGTTATTTTAAGTATGAGTATATTAAAAAATATTATTAGGAATTATATATGGGGTATTTTTTTTTAATTTTTAATTTTAGATATTTTTCACAATTTTTTTCTTTAAAAGACGTATGAGAGGATTAAATAAGGTTAATTATCCTTAGCCTTAGCTAAAAGTATTGAATGTAGTAGAACAAGTTTTTGAGTCGAGATGTAGAGAGAATGAAAGTATATAGAGGATTAAAGAGATAAAGGTTCATATTTGAAACCTAGTTTTTGTTTCCATGAATGGCAATTCCTTAAATTTATTGAGATAACGTTATTAAAATCCATTATTGTTCATTTTTGAAACTTAAAACTTCATTATAGTTTTGTCCATAGAAAAATCTGAAAGATTGAAAAAGAAAAATATCCTTAAATTGTGCTTAACCTCAGTTATTAACTTATATGAAATGATTAGAGATAACAAAACAATACATATTCAAATTAGAATTAAAAATTTATATAAAAATTACATATGTAAACATGTTAAATAACATAAAAAAAAAATCTGTAAAAATGATTAAGATTTAATATTAAAAATTTGTAATAATTTGTTATAAAAACAACTTATATCTTTTTAGTAATGAATTTCCTAAATTTATCCCTAGTAAAATATATATTTATAAAGTATGTTTTAATTGATTGATTATATTTTTCTTGAACCAAGTTTACTTAAAAAAATATCTATCTATATAGCTTCTACTTTAAAAAACTTTAATTTAATCGATTGTTTCTGTCCCTAAATATTTCTAAATTATATTATTATATTTCTACCCACAAAAATACAGTTAAAAGTATATTATTATATTTTAAACACACTTTACTTATTTCTTAAATTAAACTAAATCAGAATAATAATTTTAAATTTAAATACGAAATGTATTAAATAATAAATATAAAATAATTCCAAAACAATCCTTTAACATTATATTTAAACTAAATCAAGAGAGTTAAAATACTAGTAAAGAAAAAACAAATGAGAATGTGAGAATTTGATTACAATTGCCTTCAATTCAATGATTGAGGCATTAAAGTTTTCAAACACAAGTTTTCGATGCTATAACAGAAAATAGAAAGGATAACTTGACAACATTTTTTTATAATATTTTAATATGTGATTAATTCAAAATTATTTCATAATCAATAATAATAATCATAAACTCTAATATGGATCAATCACAGAATGACACGTAAACAATGTTAAAATGATATAAAAAAATTATTGTCAAAATATCATTATCCTAGTTGAAATTGTGAAACATGGCTTGGAGAGTGACTTCCATTTTCAGATTGAAGGAAAACTCAAAATCTCTTTGAGCATGTTGAATAAGAAGTGCCTTTGTTGAACTAACGAATATTGTTTCACAACTTGATGAAATGATTAAATACTTTAATTATATTTATATAAATCAATAAATCGAGTTAATTCATCTCAATTATACTATAATAAATATATAATAAAATAAAAAATAAAATGTGTTTAAATGAATCAATTTTATTAATTTATCTACCTGTAATGAATTAAATTGGGTTGTAAGATTTCTGAGTCTAATTAACTGAATTTGGTTTACTTTGACTAAGTAGTGTGATGTTGCACGCAATGTATTTGTTGAAATGTCACTAGTT